TAATCCTGCTCCCTGAAAAAAAATTAAGGTGGCAGATAACATTATTCCAGTTATATGCGTGTGCAAACTAAAGGTAAACTGTAGAGCCAAATCAGAGTTATTGGCAGGTTGAGAAGCAGTTCCCAAAACCCTGACATTCAGGAAAGGATATTGTGAGGCATTTTACACTAGAGATTATGAGCTGCCTCTGCTCTGCAGGACTGTTTTTTCAAAACTTCTAAACTGCTGTGCCATGGCAACAGCACCCATGTTAATCCCTCACCAGAGACAAATGTTTTACAAAGCTTCCTATTTAGTCAGTAACAAGAAACGGGGACCCACGATACTCATGGAGGGGGGGAGGAGCTCCACGTGGAGGAGGGGGAAGCAGCCACAGGTGAGCCTTCTCCCCCGCACTGATGGCAAGGCCTGGGCCCGCCAATCCTTCTCCCCCCCAACCCCCCCTGGCACCATGGTGAGGCCTGCGTGGGTCCAGTTGCCAGGGTGATCTCTGCCCACGCGCAGGGAATGCTCTTGTACTTTTGGGAGGATTTAAATATCCCCCATATATTTTTCAACTTTTTAGATTTTTCTGCACACCTGGGAACTGCTCCAAGTGTGCAGGAAAATCTCTCTGTCCCCCAAGTGCCCCCGATGCGCGGATTTAGATATCCGCATGGAGGGGGCAACTTGGCTATTAGATATATAGATAAGAAAAAAGCCTCTCATACAGAGAACTCAACTTGTTCTTTCAGTAGAACAGTAAGGGTGTGAGGGGCAGGGGGACCCACAGGTGTTACAGGAAGCTACTACAAGAGCACAAACTAATGACAAAGCTAGTAAAAAAGGAAACCAGAAGGGGAAAGGACAGCTGGCAACCTGAACTTTCTTCCATCTTTGCAAGAAAATAAATATAAATACATACAGGTCCAGGCTTCCATACTTCTGTGAAACTGAGAGAGGTACTCCGTTTGTAGAAAATTGTTCTGTTCTTTGGAGACCTAGCATTGGGATCCTTTGATTTTGCACTATTGTCTGTATCAGATTACTGCTAGATAACACTATAAGTAGCTTACTGAATTTCCCAAAAGATTCCTGGTAGCTAGGATTGTCAGCCTCCAGGGGGGCCTGGAAATCTCCTGAAATTACAACCAATCTCCGGACAACAGAGATCAGTTCCCCGGGAGAAAATGGCTGCTTTGGATGATGGACCCTTTGGCATTACATACCAATAACGTCCCTCCCTCGCAAAACCCCACCCTACCCAGGCTCCACCCACTAAAACTCCAGGTATTTCACAACTTAGAGTGGGCAACCCTACTGGTACCCCTTCAAAGGTCCCGTACCACTAACTGGATATCACCGTTCTGTCATTAGGACCAAGCAGGACGTTCTAATAGGACTTGAGCCAATAACTTGAGAGAGAACACTGAAGACCTAGAATGGAATCTATGGCCTTCGTTAATCTAATATCCATCTCTCCAGTAAACGAACATAAAGTACTACAGAAGGAAGTACAAGGAGCTGTTGGATACAAATCAGATGGAACTGATCTAGTATCCCTCAATTCTTTTAGACTCAAACAATTACAGATTTTTTAAAAACAAAAACAGAACAGATCCTAACCACTATTTAGATCTTCAAATGTTTCTGAATTAGTATCTGGGCTCAAGAAAGTACTGGCAACAAAATTAAGATGCAAGTCCTGCATCTGTGCCTCTACAGCACAAGTAAATATAATGTGGGGTTCTGGAATACGCTAGTGGTAGACGGTGATGCAGCAAAATGGCCACCAGAGCAACTGCGTGGCATTTTAGCAAGCAGTTTTGTGAGAGGAAATAGCGTTCTAATCCCCCCCCCCTAAATCAAGTTAACACATTAAATCTTTCTTCAAAAGATGTCAATAAACACAACCTATAATAAACAAAATTCTTCATTTCATCTTACTACTTACAAATGCAGATGACACATGGCCCTCAAAATAAAGATATCATGTCTACTCCCTCCGATTATACAACCATAAGATTCTAAACAATTCATTTTATTACTCCTTGTGGCGGGGAGGGGGGCAGCAATGACAGAAGCCACACCCAAATCACCATGAAAGATTACCAGGCGCTATTAAAAAGTGCAATGTAGGGGGGTGCTGTGCGTATTTATTTTGGCTGGAGGGGGGAAATCCTCAAGAGGAAACAAGTTGTGAAGGGTGTTTTTTTATACCATCATCTACAAATTGAGAGGAAAACACTAAAAAAAAGAACATCAAGAAAACTTTACTCTCCTTCCAGCATCAGCAGAGCTCCCACCACAAAGCCCAATACTGGTTATATAGGGCACGGAAACTAACAGCAGTAATGCTGCAGACTCTGAATGTACTCTGCCAGCAACAGAATGTCCAGGAGTATCATTGCCTCAGTTTGTATTTTTCTGCTGCTAGCTGGGGTGAACATGTGCAGACATCACAACAACAAAAATTGAGCAGAGGGTCTTTTAAAAAGTGTATTCATCCTGGTTCCCTCCCCTATCTTGTTCATATCTTCCTCCACCCCACAGAAACAGCAGAGCCAAACTCTGTTGCATCACAGTTGAACACTAGAAGAAAAGTGCATTTAGGAACCATGCCCTTATCTTTGCTAAGACAGAACCAACAGTACAACAAACGGATATTGTTACAGACACATGGTACCTTCCAATTTGTGGCCTCAATCTACTTCACCAAACGGTGCAGTCTTAGTGCAGTGGAACAATCCCATGGTTATGAGGGAGAATTTCGGCCTCAGTAAAGACTCAGTTGTTCTCCTTATTAAGGGAAGGCTGTTCTCAACATTCCTGGGAGGCTGATCTTATCATGCCCAATTTGCAGAAGAGAAAATAGAGGCAAACAGAAAGGAACAAATTAGTCCAAGGTCACAAAGCTGAGCCAGTAACCAAACCAGATCTCCACAGCCTCCTGGTTATGTAATTTTTTTGTGTCTCGGCCTGAATAGCCAATGATGGAGGCACTAAGTATTTAATAGTTAAACCCAGATTCATAAAAACAAATCACAAACATAAATGCCCCTCAAGCCAAAGGAAACTTCCTCATCCCTAAATATTAAAAAAGGTCTCTGTTTTGTAGAAAAGAAAGGACTACACAAGGACCTATATCCCATACTTATGAACCCAACCAACACCCCTAATATATTAAAGTACGCCATTATGGAGCACTGGGTGAAAAGAAGCTGATACGCAACCCCTAGTGGCCACGTTTAGAAAATGCGTCTGTTTAGATGGCGTTGTTAAAATGAATTTAACCCAGCACCCTCTGAACATACTCATCTGCATTAAATTCTCCCTGCTCCTGCCAGGAACAAACGCAATCTCAGCAGTGAATCCAGCCCTTCACCACAGCGGCCATCACAGTTGGGTCTCCCATTGCCTCCTCTGCGGAACTAGCACTGCAGGATGCAAGACTGCCTCCGGAGGAGCCAGCTCTGCAGAGCAAGGAC